ATGCTTCGCATACTTTAGACACGCTTCGGTTCCTATTTAAAAGATTTCGATTTTCAATTGTGAAAGCATACAGGTTTTGTTTGATCACCGAACCAACGAATGTTGTAATTAATGATATGTAAATATTGTACATATTAAAAGTTACATTTTAAAAGTGATTGATGTCGATTTATAAAAATCGTAGAATATTTTGAAACAGCGTATATTCTGAACAGTTCATTCAGTTTTCATCCTACAATCGTTGTAACTTACTATTGTAAAATTATTATTGTATTTTTGTAAAATTTTTCATTATATCATATTTAGTAGTGTTGGTAATGCTTAATGCATGCAACATCAGTACTTATATTTTGCTTTATGTACTGTTTTTATACTAGGTATAAAGAATGTATATATTGTTGTACTATATACTGTTCTTTATACTAGGAAATTATGTTCAAACATGTCTGTATTTAAATACTTAGTTTAAGCCTTCTATTATCTGTTATAACCTATAGTATTACTAAGGCTACCCACATTAATTTGTTAATAATTGTAGCATGTATCCCCATTGGAAAGGCCGATAATGCATGCAATTTATGTACAGTAGCCCTGTTATGTGATAGGTAGTCAGTATTTAGATACTTGGTTTACGCTTTCCTTATGTACTGTTTTATACTATTGTATACCGAATGTGTGTATTGTTATACTATATACTGTTCTTATACTATGCGCTTATGTTCAAACATGTCTGTAATTAGATACTTAGTATAAGTCCTCTAATATCTGTTATAACCTAAAGTATTACTGAAGCTATCCATATTAACTTGTTAATAACTGTGGTATGTATCCCCATGGAAAGGCCACTGATAATGTATGTAATTTATGTGTCGTAACCAGGTTATGTGATAGGTATGCATAATAGCATAACAGTTTACTAACATCTGATCATTGTGCATTATTCTTAGGAATAATTCGAGGGAAAAATCCACAGAGGCACCATGGTATTTTCCTAGAACTTTGGACTCTTCACTTTTACCTTTACTACGATTATGGACGCGTTTAGCGATTCAAACACGAAGGCATATTATTGTCAAAAGTAATTCCCCTTACGAATAATCGTGGCATTCTTATGCAAGGTGACTAAGTAAAAATAACCTACCCTAGCCATGAAACTCTTCAGTGACAATGAACAAAGCTACGTCTGTACAAACTACAGGCATCATCTGAACAAAGCTACAAGCATCATTCCGTATGCATTTCTAGGACGGAAGTCTGTTCCGTGGCGTACAGTCTAATGACGACGAAACTATTCTCAACACATTCGTTACAACAATAAGCGAATAGCAATTAAAAAGGCAAAACTAACAGAATTAAAATAAAATAAATTGTAGTTGCTTCGGGAGTACATATATGGAACGATACAGAGAACTGAAATAAAGAATTTTTGAGCAAATATTTTTGACGTATAACTCATTAAAATGCAATAAACAAATAAATAATTCTTTCTTAATTTAAGAGCCATCTTCAAGTGTATAATAATTTTCGTTAGAAATTTTATAGTAACAAAAGTAAGCGTTTGCGTGTGTAAAAATTAATGAGTGTTTTCACTGGAAAATCTTTGCTAATGGTACTGCTTTGAGTAAATGTGCCTCAACTTCGGCAAAGTACATGCATTGCAGAATATCAAATACTCTGAAGAGGGAATTGGGAAGAAAGGCAGTCAGTCTAAGTCTCACTCAAAAACAGAGGTTTGATGTATTAAAACTGTATTAGAAGCTGAAAGATCAGTGACATATTATCATAAACAGCCATGCTTTATATCCTAAACAGCACTTTGTAGCAAGAAATGTATGTCGTTGAGTGGATTTGTGAATTAAAGAATACGGTGGTTATTTCCTGTAGCTTCTGTGAAAGAGTAGGTTACGCTCTTGTTCCCGCTTGTTGTAATTTAGTAATTCTATAACTTAATACAGCACATCTGAAACGAAATAAATCAGCAGTAAAGTAAAAGTGCGTTTTAGATCAGAGTTAGAGAACTTTTGAATTCGCCCTGTTTAAAGATACACTCGGGAGCTGTTCAAAATAGTAGAAACGCTAAGCTTGATAGTTTTGTTTCCAACGAGAGTTTTTATTAAAGAATATAAAAGCACATAAGGTATTTTCCCGCTCCTTCCAGCATGCCTTCGTGGTGTAGCGGGAACACACTCGGCGCGTATTCGAGAGGCCCAGGTTCGAGTCCCGGCGAGAGCATCGCTCATTTTTCACGTCTCCAACATCAAAATACCTAATGAATCTACAAGGTGTCCCCACGTTTTCGTAGGATTATTTTATATATATAATCAAGGTTGTTTAAAATAAGAAATTTCGATTGTGGTTTGTAAAAATCAGTTCGACAAAAATGAATGATTTGACCGAGTCCCACAATAGCCAGATTATGGATGTTCGGGTTCTTTCTGCATCTATAATCTCAACTGTAAAATTACATTTCAGGTATCAAGAGGTACTGTGTCTAAATTCATAACGGCATATAATATGAACGGCAAAATATGGTCTGCGAGACATAATTGTTAGGGGAAAACGGAACGCATAGTCATAACCAGAAGGATGTTAAACAGGATTATTATGTCAAAAAGAAGGACTGCTGCGAAGATGGTCATTGCTGAGATTAATATATATTTACAGAACCTAGTTTCGACGTATACAGTATGAAAGAAAATGCTTAATCAGAATATTTACAGCTGAGATGCTGTCTCAAAACAAATGGAAAACAGAGATGAGAGATCTCAGAAACAGAGGAATGTTGATCAATGGAAACAACTACTGTTTCAGATAAGTCAGCCATCACACTGGTTCACATTTCAGACGAGTTTATGTTATATGTGCGGCAAATACTTGAAGAAGCCTAAACGCATACTGTCTGCTTTGAGCAGTAAAATTGAGTAGTGATAGAGTTATGCTTTCAGGTATTGTATCGTTGTTTTTGGCAGGTCCAGTTATCATTTTATTAAAGATATAAATATCATTGACTACATAACTATTTTAAGTAACAAAATTCATTCAGTGACCGAGATACTGTTTTCTAAAGCAACTGCATTTCTAAAGATGATAATGCCTTCATTCGCGGAAATCACATTGTTCGGCTGTATTTCAAAGCACATGAAGTTACATATCTTACCTGCACAATCACCAGACTTAAATGTTATTGAGCCGAGCCACTGGGGTCTGTGCTGGAAAAATAGAATGAGAACTCGTTTTTCTCTTCAAGCATCTCAAAGAAATGGAGCAGTTTCTGACAGAAGAAAGGTTTAAAATATTCAAATTACCTCCATTCGGAACTTGTATGCCTCCCTTCCAATTCAAGCAATTTTGAATGCCAAAGGTGCTCCAATATAATATTAAGTGCACCATTTTTCGTACTTTTAAGTGCTTCCATTATTTCGGACAAACACTGTATCCATGTTTTTTTTTTTCTCTTCTCAATTTACGTGAGCTTCCGTAATTATTGTAGCTTGATATAAGATCCTTATGTTTGATCAGATATCGAATTTATAAATTTCGTTGCTGGGTAGACAGTATTTAACTAATCTGTAAACATTTAGTTAACAATGCTTATTAAAAGTTTTTATACACCTATTTTTCATTGTTATCTTATGAAACTCCATTGCTTCCAGCTGGACAAAAGTGGCCTCATCGTATTTGTGAGATATTTATTACTTATTATCTGTAGCTAACATAACAGCTAAATATTTAATCATTTATTATATATAAATTATCATTTTATTTATAGATTATCAAAAGTAGAGCAAATTAAGCTATGTAAAAGAAAAGCTATACTTCTGTTATAAGATAATGTATAGATTTCAAAAATCACAGATTAGCAAAAAATGTGAATAAAGAACGAGTCGCAAATTTCTCGAATGAGGTTCGGGCAGTAGGTGTTAATTGTTCCGATATTACCCTTTCCTGACCAAAAGGGCTTATTTAACAGATTTTTAGTGGCAGAAAAATGCTTATAAAATGAGTAAAATTTGATATAATAGCCTTTTATCTACGCACGTATGCGCATTTGTGCAAAGTATTTTAACCCTGAGATTTGTAAAACAGTAATTTATTTCCATATTAATCTCTTAAAAACTAATGCTTGCCAGCAAAGGATTTTAAGTATGTTAGAGTATTTAATGCATATAGTAGTCTTTTGAAGAAATAATAAGGAAGTTTCCTGATACATTTAATTGCATTTCTTAAATATGATATTAACGGGCAATCCATATAGTTTATTTCAGAATTCAAACAACAAAAATCAGCGTTATATTTACAAATTTTCACAGGACTAGTTTCGATGGTTTTGCGGAACCATCATCCTCAGCTGACAAAGCGCAAATGAACGAGATAAGATATTGTGATAAGATAAGAAAGTTGTTTGAATTCTAAATTAATACGTGTTATTTTATCTTAATCCATATAGTTATTACTGGGTTTCTCTAGACATATGATGTAAACAAAATAAAAATCTCCGATTTAAAAAAAATTAAAAATAGAGTATCATAACTTGTTGATGATTTTCTTTCTCAGTGTTGGATACGTCACACTAAACGCGCTGACACTGTGCCCTGCAATTGGTTTCCTGAGTCTGTGTCTCGTAATATCATGCGGCTTTCACTTCTGAAAATACATGAACTATGTGTTCGTGCCACTTTTGTCCACAAGTATGTGTGAGCTCGAAAGCAGTACTACTACTAGTGAGACGGAAACAAGAGGTATGCTGGAATAAGTATGTCAAGACTTTACGTGTCTTTTTTTATAAATTAAAAAAACATAAACAATTGAAAATGATTCTAAATAATCCTGTATTTTTCCCATACAGGGGGAATACACAGTTCTGTAAGTGTAGCTTTGTAAAGTTGTATTATTTATAAGATTAAAAGGTGATACTTGTGAGCCATCTTTTACATCACAGAATGGCTGCCAAGAAGATAAAAAGAGCTGCAACACATACGATTAAGTAAATAAACAGATTCTAAGCAGTTTCAACTTTTTAATGATTTACATTTATTATGCAAAATATGTTCGATTTCTATGGGTTTTATATGTGTATATATTAAAAAATGAGAGAGAAATTCAAAAGCATTTACAAAATGAATGGTGTAAGCTAATTTGACAAGTATATTTAGAACCAGGAGTTTTAATTTCTAAAGTTGTCTTGCGTAGTCCCTTTATGTAAATGGAAACTACTTCTAATTGCTTATGGATAAGTTTTGATATCTGATATGATTTTCTCAGGAAAAAATACAAAGTTACAAATATATTTCATTTGTCATATTTAAATATGCAAGTGATTATTTATTTTGGTTCAAACTGAATTCCTATACATAAATAAAAGCAAAAATCTGTAATGGAATTCAATGAAAAATTGTGATAATTCAACTAACCTATAGTAATGTGCTGTAAAATTGCCCTTTTGGCCAAAACAATCATCACGTCTTTCATATCACATGTGATTTATCCAAAAATACAAGTTTTCCTTCTTTTCAACAAGCTTTAAATAGTTAATCACTTCTTGCAAGGTTTTGCTAAAGAACATTATTTAGTTACACTTGCTAAGCTTCACTCATATATTTACATTAGATATCTCCATTCCACAATTTTTTTACAAATATTTAAGAGATCTAGCTATTTGATCCTAGTATTTCGAGTACTTAATTCCATAATACACATGGATCTAGGACTCAAGAAAATGCTGCACTATTATGTTTGCTAAGTCTTACTGTATGGAATATTTAAACGTCTAAGCGTAAGGCAATAATATACGACACTATGTTTTGCAGCATCGTACAAAGGAAAAGAAACTGCTGCCAAGATTTAAAGAACAGCAACATAACTTACAAAGCATGTGACAGTGTTGTTCATTATATTGAACACATAGTAAATGTATTGAAGTTTAAGCAAAATAAGGCCTTTAGTTACTCAGTTCACTCGAAAAATCTCGGAATCGAAGCACCAAGAGAAAGAACATTCTGTGGACGTTTCTATCACCTTCTTTTTCCAGAACATTTAAGTGGTTAATACCTACTGGACAATGTTGCTAGAAAATCTGCGCCGTGAAGTTCCTCAATATTGCAACCAGAATCAGTGAAATTCACAGAATTTGCTTCAAATTACCTATTGTACTAAATTCTATCTGTGTAGGCTGACCAGTACCCTAAAAAGGGAAATATCTTTTTCCTATATAACAATGCAAGACTTTCTGTACTTTTTCTTAAGGCTGTGAACAACATTGCAGGAATACAGTTACTTCTAAGTCAGAGTTCGAAGGCTTTACAAAATAGGTAACGTTGCACTGGTATCGAAAAGACAAAACCATGCTGGTTAAAACTGCCTTAATGATTTTAATTTGCTCTCTTGTGAACACATATCAACTGAACTAAGTTATATTATCTTGGTATGAAATTCGTTCTAAATAGTGTTAAAATATTAAAAAATTTATTCACACACACTTGATGTATTTAGACTAGATATTTGTTGAATAAAGTGATATGATTATTTTCCCCCTCAACATTAATCACATTATGATGATTAATATTATTTATATAATAGTTTACTGAACTTGGTAAAAGATATATGAAAAGATGCTCTCTGCCGTTTGTTTATGGTTGAAATTTTGTACATTTTAGAACTTTGTAAGCAAGATATATTTACTATTTTTTAGAGAATTATTTTTTTTCTAACTGCGTGCATTTGATTGTTGTGCGTGCTTGATCAATAATTTCCTGCTATGCAGTCTTTTTGAAGCGTGCCTTTAAATGCAGTAAGTGCGCCATGTAAGTAATGCATGTTTAAAAGACGACACCAGCCATGATTTGCCATTTCGATTCACATTGCGCTAAAACCCCTGTTGGAATAAAGGCAAGTTCATCTGCATTTCCTTCAAGAACATAGATATAAATTATGCCAAATGTGCTGTTCAGTTGCTGTGTCTCTGAATAGCATTTATGTGATATGACCATATTTAAGCAGTCACCATTTATGCAGCTCTTTCTGACCCAGCACTGAGGTATTTTGTTTCAAATAGCTGCACCATAATAGGTAAAGAAATATAATTTCAAAATGTCAGTTTTCTGTAGATAATGCACGGGGTACTAGGGGTGGAGGTAAAGCAGTCCTGTTACTGCATCCTAGATTGACAGATGTCCAGTTCGGCCGGCTAGCTAACGATGCTGCATCATCAGGATGAAGATAAACATGACGATTGCTAGGTTGCTGAGCCGTCTGCTGCTGGGAATCACTTGTTTGATGGGCTTCACTTGCACTTAGATGTGGCAGGACTGATAATGCTTTAGTCAGCACATCAGGAAGTGCTTCTAATTGTTCTTGAATAACAGTTAAACGTTCCTCTAATGACAGCACTCTTGCCTCTAGAACTTCATGTCTTTGGTTCATTTCAGATACCATTTCATACACGGAATTCTGCGTCTGGAAATAGAATTCAATTTTAAAAATTTAACTCAAACATACACCAACTTCATATATAAACTATGTGTACATAAAATTAATAAGAATAAAGTAGTCTAAATTTTGAGTTCATATTTCATTGACAGCGCAAGCAAAGGAACTTTTTATCGTCACAGCTGCAACAAGAGGTTGGTGTCCCGAGAAATATAAAAAACTATACTCATGTGTCTGAGCTAACCAGTGAACAATTCAATATGGTCAAAGTACTTTAACAAATTAAAACCTTTGATCGCAATTAGAACTTAAAAGAGAAAATTTTGTTTTGCTGCGGATTGTTTTGTTATGTTTAAAAATTTCTGACACATATAAAATGCAAATAAAATAAAATTAAAATAGATAAATTCATCCCATATTCAATTTGGAATAAACCATATGCAAAGAACAAAGACCAGAAGCACAGTCACAAACTGCATGAAACGGGCAAAAAAGAACAAAACCAAAAAAGAAAATGAGAAAAGAAATTTACATCTTTCTCTACATCGTCATTAAGGGAATAGTGCAAAGATAGAATTAAATATATCAGCCTGTTTCTGAAGTAACGAGCACACAAATTAAAGTTTAATGCTTAAAATAATCTCAGAAAATCAATTAAAGTACGGTGAACTCCCGTAGAACGCGAATTACTATAACGTGACGAAAAAATTGCGACTAGTAATCCTACAGCTGTAATAAACAGTTCTTTATAACGCCTAAGATAAATTTAACATTTTCACATATTTTCTGATTTTTTTGTTTAAAACAGCAAAGGTATACATTTACCTGCTGTTTATACTACATAAACAGTGAAGATGACAGTTTAAAAAAGTACGGGAGAGCAGTTAAAAGGGAGTCCAAAGTTCTAACGACGCCATCTTATTAATATTAATTGTACAGATCCATCGTTTGAATAGTCTATAGTTTCGTCTTGATTGTTATCGTTATTTAAAAACAGTTCTTTCTCCAGATGATTTTTAGATTGAAAATATGGAGGTAGACAATCTTTCAGTTTGTTTTTAAATTCCGAAAAACATTCTATTGAAGAATCAATTTTCATAAAATGTGTTTCTATCGTTTTGGCTATTTTGCAACTCTTTATTTATATCTTCTAAACTCAAAGATTACTTTGGCGCATTAAAAATCTGAACTGAGTTTTCTTCCTATTCACATCAGCAAAACCTTCTCCACCAATATTTTGTCCAGCAGTTATTTTGCGATTTACATCTGTTTCTAATGGGGTTGGAGAATTTGGTGTTATAATGCCATTTAACATTAACTTTTCCCAACAGACGTTGAAGGTTTCAATTCTTTAAGAGATATATTTATTAGTTCTACGGAGTTTAGTACTGAAAATTCTTTGAAACTTGCAGAACTGTTGCATTAGAATTACAATTATTTTTAAAAAAATAATTTCAAATGTACGACGCAAATTAAAAGTTTTAACTGTTTGTATCATCCCTTGGTCCAGTGGTTGAAAAATTGAAGTTGTGCTGGGTGGCAGACAAACAATTTTAACATTAGAATGATTTAAATTTATAGGATGGCCTGGTGCGTTATCCATCAGTAACAAAACTTTAATATTTTTCTTTGTAAAATAACCTTCGATCTCTGGTACAGAACAGTTGTAAAACCGAATCATTTCGCATGTAATCCATGCTTTTTTATTGGCTTGCCAGTGAACAGGAAGCATCGACTTTTCTACGTTTTTCATTACACGTGGATTTAATGTACGATTAATTAACATCGGCTTAGTTACATGCTCTCCGGCCGCATTAAAATACAAAACAAAAATTTTCTGTCTTTTGATGCCCTGAAACCAAAAGCAGAGGTCTGATTTTTCGCATGTCCTGCGGGGCAATTTTGTTTTCCAATACAGAGCAAATTCCTCAGCGTTATAGACTTGCTCTGGTATATAACTGCCTTCCTCTACAATTTTCGAAAACATTTCTGCAAATCTTTGAGCTGCTTCTTTATCCGCTGATGTACTTTTTCCAATAGTTTTCATATTACGCAAAAAAATCTCGTCTTAAATCTGTTAAACAATCTTGTACTGGCCTTAAATTCGGGTTGATACAATTCATTAGATGAAATGCTCTCAGAATTCTTTAACCGTTGGTAAACTTTGAGTGCCTTTATTTTATGGCAGCACTATTTAAAGTATTAATTTCTTGAGTAACAGTCTTTAATCTATGCCATCAAATACTTTTCCATCTTAGCCTCTAACATGTCTTTTATTCGAGCAACTTTCTTCAAATCTGATAAAGATGTACATCGTTCGTATTTTGCTTGTATTATTCTTTGAATTATTGACTCTTGTAGGTTCAGTTCTTTAGCAATGATTGAAATTTTCGCTCCAGGTTTCAATTTATTCAAAATTCTAATTTTATTGTCCAGAGCTATACGCTGTCTTTGCAACTGCTCAGGTGCTTTATTCATTTCAGTATTCATTCAGTATTTTCGCATGGCATAAATCGCATCTCATTAGCAATATGCGATAACCGTTACAATTTCGAGCACTGCTGTCCAGAATTGCCTTCGGGGACAATTTCATTCCTCCCCCCACACACCCGAGCTCTTCGCGGTTGCTATGGTGACGGCTGCGTAGGGCCAAGACACTCAGTACGTGCGTACACTCAGAGCGTAGAAATAGACAACACCACCTTAAACAGTTTAAGAAGTTATTGCCAATTCACACCAACGCGATCATGCGTTCAGGTGGGAAGCGGTTACCAATAAGAAGCAAATTCAGAGGCGGTATTTTTCGGATGACCGGAGACCGCGCGAGTTGACTGAATTGCAACTTTTAGCCGCTTACCACGCCAGTTTCAGGTATCTCCTTTGAATTATCCAGTTTACACCACAGTTTTTAAAAGAATATACTTTCAAAATTCCGCTTGAGGAAAATATAAAATCAAATAGACTAATCTTAGTAAAAGTTTCAGATGATAATTAAAAAAGTTAATGGAGAATCTTAATAAATTATTTAAAGGCAAATTCTCAAGAATATTAGGAGTAATAAACTTTAAATCTTAATTATCAACCATTAATGATATATGGTTGATAATTTTTACACAATAATCTAAAGCTGCGAGCTATTGCTGCGAGAAAATAATAACAGATTTCGAAATCTTCGGATTTTGAATTTTACTTAAAATCTGCGTCAATTTAAAGTTGCTTCTGTTTCCTAATGGCTAAAGACTTGGCTTCCGGTGTCAAAGATTGTGGATTCAAGTGTCATTAAGAGCGACGTTGTATTTAAAAAAAATATTTACAGAAAAATTCATAATTAGTTTCAGAGTGGCAAAGAGTTAATCAGTTTCCTGAAGGCGAAGTCTGAAAAGCAACATTTTACGTAAGACCTCTAAAGCGGGAGTAATGAAACAAATTCAGATGATACTAGATGTTTTTGTTGGGGGTTCAGGCCTTGCTTCTTCCACTTTTGATGTTGGTGTTAATAAATAAAATTGTTTAATCTACCGCGACTTTCTTTATGCACAAGAAGTTTGCATTTATTTTTCATTGATAATAAACATAATTTTCGCCTTCCAAGCAGCATTGCATGGCAAAGGCTCGTTATCATGGCACAATTCATTAGATGATATGACTGTTCTGTTTTTCTTCTGACGCCATACTAGCAAAAGCGATACTTGTATTAGTATAAAGTGTTGCTATTTTACCTAATTTAAGAAATTTGGTGAGTTCTTAATTTTAATTTTAAACGACTGGTGACAAGTAAGCCATTTATATATATATATATATATATATATATATATATATATATATATAAAACCAAGAAAACTATCATTTATACAGCAAGGAAGCTTGCCGGTGTGTGACATTTAAACTAAGACAGAATTCAACCCTAGATAGAACCGGATTTTACAGAATACTAATAAAAAATATAAACTAATAAAACAATATTATTATTTATATCAACTGTCAGGAATTTCATGTCCCACAGACTTTTACAGTGGATTTTTACATGAATGGGCCACGTTTTGTGCAGTTTTGCATAAGGGTGTGTTTCAAGGTCGACTTCATTATACACAAAATGTAAATATTTTCTTATCATTTGAAATCTGTCGTAGGACATAACTTTGCGAAAGAATGGCGTTTCAAGACATGTCTTTTTTGACCGAAACATTGAGACATTGGGCTTCTGAATAATGTCTCAATAATAATTCTGAATAATGTCTGCCTGCTAAACATGGAGCAACAGAAGTATTTTCATTTCATGGTCATTTGTGGGCACCCACATTTTTTATCGGCTTTTTCGCTTCAGATGTTGCCTTTCCATATGCATTGCTGTGTATATCTATTAGTCTCTTCCGTAATGGTGTGAATCAAATTGTCATAATGAAATAGCTCAAAATATTGTTTTTTTTTTTTTTTTTTTTTTTTGAGTAAAAACTAGAAGTGTCAACTGTTGCACCGACTTGTGGATGTTGGAATGGGAATCATGGAGCGGCTGGAGAAAGGTAATTGAAACATAGCGGAATCCAAGTTTGGCTTGAAAGAATTTCACTTTCGTCGTCACTTTCGGAATAGTCACACTCTTCTGTTGAAATACTGGTTTTTGAGCATGAGAAGCTCAACAAGCATTTTTCATCACCGTCTGATACCGACATTGTGAACATATAATGTGGGTTGAAGGAAATTTGGGAAGAAATACAAAATTGCAAAAATCCGACAAATGGCGCGAAACTGCCGAACATTTCGCGGAAAAGTATCACTACCTATTGGTAAAATGGTAAATTACATACTATGCATTGGACGAACTGAGTTTGGGCTTCACGGAATTGAAACACCGAATTTTTCTTTTGCCCGATGTCAGGTCGGGCATTCCAAAATTGGCGCATTTGCATTGCCCGAACTGAGTTCGGGCGTCACAGGCAAGGGGTTAAAGCAAAGAAAAAAATTTATATAAAAGACAATTATTTCAATGAGGTTTAGACAAAGTGGCTTTATAAAATAAAACTTCAGAT